TGACCTAATTTACCTGGCCTTACTCTTTTCTCAGTTCTTACACTTTCTTTCTCTTCTGCTTCATTGATATATTGACTGCTTGTTCTTTTAGAATTTTCTCTTAACTCCAATGATACTGCAGTAATTTATTTTTCTCCTACTTCTCTGATAGTTCATTTGTTTTCTTTATTGACTCCTCTTCTTTAATTCCCAGAAGTTCTGCCAAAGATAAAAATCTCTTTATATTCTACCTTTCTCAATTCTCATAGACTTCCATAACTTTCAGCTATTTTCTGTCAAATCTTTGTCTCTACTCCTAACCTTTTCCCCTAATTCCAGACTTATATTTCCAGCTATCTTCTAAAAATCTCTATCTGGATTTCTTCCCAAAATCTCAATTTCAACATATCTGAAACAAGACCTTTCCTTTTTGCCTGCAGCAGGTACCTTCATCTGATTTCTAAAAATAATTATTGAGGTGAAATTCCTATAAAATAAACCATTTTAAAGGGAACAGTTCAGGGAAATTTGGTACATTCATAATGTTGTGCAACCATTACCTCTATCTAGTTCCAAAGCATTTCCATCACTCTAAAGTAAAGCCTCTTACCCATTAAATAGTTTCTCCCCATTGCCCTCTTTCCCCAGCCCTGGCAGCCACCAAGATGCATTTGGTGTCTATGGATTTATCTATTATAGATATTTCATGTAAATGGAATCATGGATTTATCTATAATAAATCATAGATTTATCTATTATAGATATTTCATGTGAATGGAATCATATATAACCTCGTGTCTGGCTTCTTTCACTTAGCATAATGTTTTTGGGTTCATCCAGGTTGTCATGTGTATCAGTACTTCATTTCTTTTTACGGATGAATAATATTTGCTATTGTATGTATATAGCACGATTTGTTTATCTGTTCATCCATGGACATTTGGGTTGTTTCCACCTTTTGGTTGTTGTGAATATTAATGGCTGTGAACATGCATGCACATGTACTTGTTTGAGTACCTGTTTTCAGTTACTCCATCTGATTGTCCTTTATCAATTTATGGTATTATATTCTCTTAATCACTCAGGTTTGAAACCTGCATAGCACATAGTAGGTGCTACATATATATTGGTTGAATGGCTTTGTTAAGTTAATATATTGAATGAGTTATCTTTCACTTCTTTCTCCTTTATCTCTTCTTTCTAATCACTTGTTAACTCTGAATTCTAGTCCTAGCTCTCCCACTAACTAGTTGTATTAACTGTAAGCAAAATACAACCTCTATATGCTTAGTTGTCTCCTCTGTAAAGTGACTTTCTTGAACCACAAACATAAAGTCAAAGACAACCTGGAAAATATATTTTAACTTACAACAAAGGGCCGGTATAAATTGTTCCTTGGAATTGACAAGAAAGATAAGCAACTGAGAGAAAAATCAGCAAACAATTCTCATTAAAAGAAATTCAAATGACCCTCAAGCATATGAAAATATGTTCAAATCTGCTTATAAAAGAAATATAAATTAAAACTATACTAAGATACTTTTTTCCACCTGTCACCTCCTTGTGTTGGCGAAGCTATGGATAAGTAAGTACTTTCATACCTTGCTGCTGGGATAGCTATCTAAATTGCAAAGGCATATGCCCTTTGACCTAGCAATCCCATTTCTGGTAATTTATCCTAAAGATAAACCTGCACAAGTAAGAAATGATGTATGTAGAAGATTATTTATGGCAGGAATATTTACAAAAACAAGTTTCGAAGCAACCCGGATGCCCATCAAAAAGAATCTAGTTTTAAAAAATATAGTACATTTATACAATAGAAAACTGTGGAACTGTAAAAAGAATGACACCTCTGTCTAGCTGTTAAAATGAAAATATCTCCAAGAGGTATTGTTAAGTGAATAACAGATGCGTTAAAAAATAAGACTATATGTAAAATTAAGACTGCAAGTTGCAGAGAAAAAGAAAAAAGACTTTAAAAACAGAACACCAAAAAAGGTTATGATTATAAAAACTTTCCAAAGACATAGGAAACTAATAGAAGTATTTACCCAGGGTGAGGGTAGAGGATGGAAAGAGTCAGATAGGAACAGAGGTGGGAGAAAACTTTTACTCTGTACCTTTTTATATTATTTTTATTTTTGAACCATATGAATTTATTTTATGCAAAAATTTTTAAGTAAAAATGAATTATTTTAAAAATTAGGGCAGCAAAAGGTTAAAAGAAATAGGCATGTTCAAGCAAAACTGGGAAATGGCAGAAAATTCCAAGGGAAAAAGATAGATATAAGGTAAGTGTAAGTTTACAAAAGATGTAACGCCATAGGCAACAAATAGCAGACAAATTACTCTAGCGCAAAGACAAGTAATTAAACTGCAGCAACATTTAAACAGCTGAAGCATAAGTAAAATATTAGCACAGGAGAACAGGGGTTACAAGAATAAGATTTTATGTTTAGCACATTAAAATGGAAAGATTTCAATTACAGCTGTTCTTTAAAGCTTCAAAAATATTTAGATGGAGAATATATATTATAAATAGCCTCCATTTTTTATACATTCTCAATCTTCAGCCTTTCTATAAAACCAACAGATATCCATCCGATCCATGTCAAGAAAAGTCATTTGTTATCTTGGTGACTTACATGGTGTAACATATACATGAAAACATCTTAGCTCTGGGATTTGACTCTGTTATGTACATGAGTTGATATTGTTAAAGTGTCATAGGGACGAGGCACTATTGCTCATGCTTGTAATCCCAGCACTATGGGAGGCTGAGGCAGGAGGATCGCTGAGGCCGGGAGTTTGAGACAAACCTGGGCAACATAGCAAGACCCTGTCTCAACAAAAAATCTTTTAAAAAATTAGCTAGGCTTGGTGGCACATGCCTATAGTCCTAGCCACTCAGGAAGCTGAGTCAGGAGGATTGCTTAAGACCAGGAGTTGAGGCTGCAGTGACCTATGATTGTGCCAGTGCATTCCAGCCTGGGCGACACAGTGAGACCCTGTCTCTAAAAAAACAAACAAATAAAAAATGTCTATAGAGTTTCTTGGGCTCCCACAATCTTAATATAATCGTAATAGACTGCCATATATTAAATATTGTCATTTTCTTCTTGAACTTTTTGTTATATAGGTAAGACATGTTCATTGTAGCAAAACAATTTTGCTTTGTTCCATTACTCACACCTTTTGCTTTAGTAAATTAAACACTTTCAGTGGGAACTACTAGGATTCTCTGTGGCTGTATCTGTTTATTTGTCCATTTTAAAACAATTTAATAAATGTCCACTCTACCACAAACTGTATAGCCAATGGGTATGCAAAGAGTAAGCATTTAGTGATATTTCATGAGGTTTTGGCTATTGTTGTGCTTCTAAAAGAAGGCATCAAAAGACATTTGTGATGCCCACAATTACTTAGAAATGTAAGAGAGTCTTAGCATATGAAAGAAACCCTTGTTTTCTGGAATGTTAATGATCTCTCAAGAAATCTCTGGCTTGAGATGGGCAATGTTAGACAACTCTTGCAGTTTTCCCATTTGACTTCAATCCTACCTAGGCTGCTTTTTCCAGGCAGCGAGAAAGTCCTATTCTAAAGAGTCTTTGCTTTCTTACATTCCAACTTGTGGGGTTTCCAAACCAGCATCATTTGTCCTCTTCCACGTATTTAGAAACTGTCTCTAAACCTGTCCTCTCATTTCCCAGTTTAGAAGCTGCTTTCAAATTTCTAGGATGTTACATTCAAATTAGTGTTCCGATCAAAACCAGAATGGTCTGCTTTTCCAAGAATTGAAATCAAAACCGGTCTATTACACTTTATTGTTGATGTACTTCTACTTGCATGGATAAAATTTATGATCACAAGGAACAACGTATCAATACATCTTGATTAAAGTCTCTACTTTGAATTTTTATAACATAGTTCTAGTATTAAAATAACTTGATTTAGCTTCACAGCGTTAGAATAGTTGTATATTATCTGTTTTCTATATAAATAAACTGAGGTACAGTTTGATCAAGTTCTCTAAGGTCACTTTGTCACTTGCAGAGTCAGGGATTATTCTCATTTTCTGATTCTCATCTCAGTGCTCTTGGTACTGCTCCACTGAAAGAGAACTTACATACTTTCCTGAAGCTCACTTTTTTAGACTTCTAGTTCTTCTGGCCGAGAGTAATTCCCAAATCCATCTTCCCTGACAAACCTCCAAAGAGGTACCTAAGGGTTTCTTTCTTATCGGCCAAGTTCAGGATTTGAACCCAAAGCTTCTTTCTTTAAATCCAAGTTTTTTTTATGTTGTCATACCTCTCAAATATAGTAGAGCAGACTTGAAGATTGTATTTTAAAAACCATGTGGCTTGTAGAATTTTGTTTTAAATGTGATCATGGTTCTTACAATCATATTTATTTTCTAATCATCTTTATCTATTACTGAGCCCCACTTTTACCAAGTCATGAAAATACAAGCATCTGCTTTCCATGAATAGATTCAGAGATCCCACAAGCCTAGATTCCCATGGAAACCAATCAAAAACCAAAAGGAAAAAAAAAGTATATATTGAATTTTCCTGAGACCTACAGCTTGTTTTTCATTAGACTCATGCTGATGTCTTTTAAACCCTGGGCACAGGGCCAGCGAATATTTTTGCAGCTGATAAAAAGGAACTTCGGATCTGTTTACTTTCATTTAACCTTTTAAAAATTAATTTTGTATATAATATTAATTCCAAAGGAAATTTGAGCATTAGTTTTCTAATTACCTTCTTATGTCATAGGACCATATTTTTTCATATACTTTCTTCTCCTTCTTGTTTTCCTGCTCATATTTTACTGTTCAAAAAAGGGTGAGGGGGAATCAGGAGGCTTATAATTCCTATAGTGTGAATATTGTTGGCCCCTGTGCACAGCATTTTCCCTGTGACCAATCATAGGGCTCTTAGTACCTCCTTTAGCTATTAAGCTTTTACTAGGCCCAAATGATCATTTACAAATATGATAACAGAATTATAATCAAAATGCCAAAGTAAGGTGGATCAAGAGAGCCAAGGAGGGGTTGCCAGGGAGGACAGGTGGTAATTTTAAATAAGACAATCAAAATACCCTTCATTGAGATGGTGACACTTGAAGCAAGGTTTGAAGGAGGTGAGGAGTTAGCCATGTGAATATCTGAGGGAAGAGCATTCATTCCTGACTGAAAGAACAGTCAGAATAAAGGCCTTAATATGGGAGAACACCTGGAATGTTTGCAAAATAACAAGAAGGTTAGTATAAATTAGACTTATAATGAATGAGCAAGAGCTATAGGGGATGAGAAAAGAGAATGAATGGTGGCCAGATCCTGTAGGGCCTTAGAGGTCATTATTAAGAATACTTTTTCACTCTGAATGAGATGAGGAGTCATCAGAAGGGTTTGAGGAAAGGAGTGACATGATCTGGCACATGTATTAACAAAAGAATCATTCTGTCTGGGCTCTATGGCTCACACTTGTAATTTCAGCACTTTGGGAGGCTGAGGTGGGAGGATCACTTGAGGCCAGGAGTTTGAGGCTATAGTGAGCTCTGGTGATGCCACTACCCTCCAGCCTGGGTAAGAGAGCAAGACCCTGACCCTGGGTAAGAGAGCAAGACCCTGACTCGGGAAAAAAAAAAAGAATTGTTCTGGCCAAATGAAAAAAATTTCTCCAGTTTTAGTACTATCTATTGTTCTGGCCAAATGAAAAAAATTTCTCCAGTTTTAGTACTATCTATTCCTTCATCCGTTGCTCATATGTTTTCAAGTCTGCTTCCTATCCTGATATTTTTCACCAGATATGCATGCATTTATCTAAATCCCTTTAAAAATAAGGTAGTTACAACAGAATACAACGTCAGTCTGATGAACCCAGAGCATAACATGACTGTCAGTATTGATGTTTTGGCAACCAAATACAGTTGACTCATGCTGAAGATTTTTTCCAATAAGATCTCCGAGTCTGCTTTATACTTAACTACTGCTTAAACTACATCCTATATTGGTATTGTTGTGGTATTTGGACCCAAATGCAACGTTTTATTGTATCCATGTTTGATCTTTCCTAGACTTACTTAGGTAGAGTTGACCATTCCCTCTTTTGTTCCTCCAGTACCTTGTGTACTCAACCACTGTTACATCACCTGTTACGCTGAAAGATATTTATTTGTTTACACATTTGATTTCTCCACAGATGCTGAGCATCTTAATATGGAAGAGTGTCTTAGTCATCTTTTTTATTTCCAGTGTCTAGTAGTACTTAACAATCAATGTTTGGTGAATTGAATGGTGTTCATCATGTAACCTATCAAAGTGCTCTTGATTCTTGAGTCTGGCATTCAGTATAGTTGTCATCTCACCCACTTATGAGTCACCAGCATTCTCATCCTAGTCTTTGATATCAAAACAGATCCTGCTTATAGAAAAGTGAAATCATTGAAACACTAGTACTAAAATCAACTTCACTAATTTAAAAGGTTGTTTTATTCTTCCATTATCCTTGCTTAAACTATGTCATCAGTGTTAACCAGGCCTCTTGAAACATTTTATATAATCTATCAGAATCCACTTGTTTGCCATTCCAATTTTAATGGGTCATTCATTCATTCATTCATTTCATCAACAAATAAATTTTCAGTACTTAATATGTATCAGGTATTGCACTGTATTTCTCAAAGTATTTTAAATTCAGCCTGTGTATAAATATTCAAAGTCTTTCAGAATTTGGAATCATAAAGTTAACATTTCACCAATAAAAGTAATCATTTTCAGGATATTTATTATGAGTATACTCAGAGTTTATCTCAAACTATTATAGATTTCATAAGACATGGTTTGCATCCTTTTAAATTTTTTATTCAAATCTTTTCTATCTCTTTGTCATTCATCTCTTTGTAAACCATTTCTTAGGAATGAGCTGAAATATCAGATCACACTTTGAAATAATGACTGTGAACTTCTAACTATGTATGTAACCAGTCATTTCAGTGTTGTGCAGATTGTAAACTATTGGTCTGTGTATGTGTTGTCACCTGTGTTTCACTTTTTTATTCCAGAAAATGTGATAAGCAAAGTAACAAAAAAAGACAAACTGGAAACAATATTTGCAAGTTATATCATTAGCAAAGGGCTACCGCCCCTATATAAGATAGAGAAGAAAAAGACCAATGACCTTATAAAAATTGAGTAAGATATGTGACTAGATAGTTCACAGAAAAGGAAATGCAAATGACCCTTAAATATGAACATATGCTCAATATTATTTATAAGAGAAATACAAATTAAAATTCCAATGAGATAACATGTTTCATCTCAGATTGATAAAACTCCAAAAGTTTGACAACTTGTTCTGATGGCAAACTGTAGGGAAACGAGCATTCACCCATTGCTGAAGGAAATGAAAATGGTTGTCTTAGTCTGATTTGTGTTGCTATGACAATACCACAGACTGGGTAATTTATAGGGAAGAAAATCTATTTCTTGCAACTCTGGAGACTAGGAAGTCCACTATCAAGGTGCCAGCATCTGGTGAGGGTCTTCTTGTTGCATCATCCCATGGTGGAAGGTGGGAAGGGAAGAGAGGGTGAGAGCAAGCGAGGGCAAGAAGGGGCTGAATTCGCTTTTATCAGAAACTCACTCCCATGATAACAGCATTAATCCATTCATGAGAGCAGAGCCCTCATGGCCTAATCATCTCTTGACAGTCTCACCTCTTAATACTTTCATAATGGCAATTAAATTTCAACATGAGTTTTGGAGGGGACATTCATATCATAGCATTCAAATAACCCTTATGGAGGGAAACATAACAATATCTGCAAAATTAACCAGAACATGTGTTTACCTTTGACCCAACATTTCCATTTCTGGGACTCTATCCTGTACCATATGTGGTAAGAATAAGAAATGAGGTATCCACCAGCCTGTTTAATTGCAGTATTATTTGTAATAGAGAAAACCTGAAAGCAAATGCACTTTTAGAGGACTGGTTGAATAAACAAGTGTATATCCACACAATGGAATGCTATGTATCTGTAAAAAGTGACAAGAAATATTTTTATGTAATGTTATAAAATGATTTACTGGAATGAAAAAAGCAAGTACAGAATATTGTGTATGATATTCTATATACAGCTATGGAGTGGCTTCCAGGATTATTGTTAAGGAGAAAAAGTAAGGTGCTAAAGATTATGTATGCAACCTTTTTTCCAGGAAAGGGAAGGAGAATACATATTTTCTTATATTTTCAAAAGGAGGAAGAATAAATGAAAAATGAATAAAGACTCTACTTAAGGAAAGAGAAGGAGATGGTATGGAGGGGATGGGGATAGAAGCTAGAGTTCTCTGTTTATATCTTGTTCTATAGTTTTGATTTTGGAACCCTGTAAATTATTTCCATAATTGTAAAAATAAATTGTAAATTGTAAAAATAAATTAAATGTTTACTAGCAATCCTTAAAGACTGATAACTAGATGAAACAAAGAAACAACTGTGTATCAGGTTGGTTGCTTAACTACACAGAGAATTATTCAAGTGATGTTAAAACATAGTAATTTGACTCTGCAACTCTATTAGTATACATCCTAAGGTCAAAGAGAGCTACAAAGAAATCCTAAGCCGTATTCAGTAAACATACTATTAGTAATAGTACTGTTATTGTTATTTTGACACAGCAACAGAAATGGATCATTAGGTTAATATACCATAAAGATGTGGGTATGTATGTTAATTTCATTAGTAACCAAGATTTTTACTATAAGAGATATACAAAGATATATGAATATAAACTGGTGATGTATTGTATTTTTCTACTAAAAATCCGTATTTCTGAATTTCGTAGCTCTGTGCATTGAAAAAGTACAGAAACAGTGACTAACCTACTACCAGTGATCACCTTTATTACCTAGAATGTGTCTCTCAATATCACTAAAAGGAAACAGAACTCTAGTAGGCACTTTAGGAGGTTGCTAGGACCAACTCATTATTCTAAAAACGGGTAACTAAAAGGCAAATATCAAGCATTTATCCTGTCTTTTTTGTACAAACTGTATTTCAGGATAACCAGTAATTAATAAAGTAAAGTTCTTTTTGGATGAATTCCAGCAAATAAATGTAGGAGACATAATGGAAGTAGAATCTCACTATTTTGCAACCCCTAATGAAATACTGAATCTGGACAATGATCATCAATAAACACTAAAACAATTAGGAAGAAAGACTGATGGGGAACTTCATAATGGGTGGATCAAAATGACAACATCTGAACCCACTGGTGATTCTTAACATCACAATAAGCAAAGGGAGTAGACATTATGTGCTCCTGATATCCAATATGAAATACAAAGCACCACCTGTATAACATATTCTTGACCAAAAAAAGGCAAACCATAGTCTGATCAAGCCTCTAGCTCTAACTGCCAGTTTACAGGAAATACACAGAATATTGGAGCATGTTAACTTATACCTTGGGGGTTTATTTTACTCTTCTCCCTGCTTTTATGTGTGTTTGTCTTACACATGCATGCATATATTTTAGAAATCATGAGTTCACATTGATTTCCCCAATTTCAATTCATCCCCACAGGTTCTTTTCTTGCCTTCCTCTACTCCATATTTGTAAAACCCTCTTCCACAATGAAAATTCTGTCTCCCAACATCATCAACACATTTGCTCATTTATTCAGTCTTATGATTTAACTCAAATAGTTTCAGAATTGTTTCAGAGTTGCTTCACACATCCCCTTACAAAAATGACAACTTAATAAAAATTGTGCTGAATTTGTTTATACCTCTTCCTCCACCACCTGCCTGAGAGACAGGATATATAGTCAAATGCTGTATTTGTAAGTTATTAATAGTTGGATAAGATTGAAGTTGTAGAAGAATATGTATAGTAGAATCCCATTTTTATAAATAAAAATTTTAAAAATAAACACAGTTGCTTCTGCTGCTCCTGGTGGTGCTTGTGTGCTCGTTCGGTGCGGACCTGGTACCTCTTTTGTGAAGCGGCAGCTAAGGAGACTCCGGCGCTCACCGTGGCCGACTAAAAGCCTAAGGAAGGAGTCAAGACTGAGAACAACAATCACATTAATTTGAAGGTGGCGGGACAGGATGGCTCTGTGGTGCAGTTTAAGATTAAGAGGCATACACCACTTAGTAAACTAATGAAAGCCTATTGTGAATGACAGGGTTTGTCAATGAGGCAGATGAGATTCCGATTTGATGGGCAGCCAATCAATGAAACAGACACACCTGCACAGTTGGAAATGGAGGACGAAGATACAATTGATGTGTTCCAACAGCAGACAGGAGGTGTCTACTAAAAAGGGAACCTGCTACTATACTCCAGAACTCTGTTGTTACAGACCAAGATTACATTCTCAATTA